GCGCTTAATTTGATTAGCGTGTCTGCGCCCAGATTCCGATTGCATTTTTCGGTTTTATTTGTGCATCGCAGCCCGCGGCAATTATTGCTTCCGCAATTTGCCTCTTCCGGTGGGATCTTTTTCTTTATTATTTGTGTCGAACCCTTATTTTAAAATTGACAGCCGGCGACTTTTGGAAATTTATCCTAAAATCACTCAACGACAATTTTAATATGTTTTCAAAAATGTTATTTTACATAGTTAAACCAAGAAAAAGTTTTTTTTATATTATCTCTCAAACTGCAAAGATTATGGTTAAGAAATGATTTAGAAATGCGGAAAATATATGAACTATATTTGAAGACAGCTTTCTAAAATATTTTATTTCTCACTATATTTAATTTATGATATTTCTTGGGTAGTCATGGAAATTTCTTAAAAGCTTCCTTAAAAACGGTGTTAAAGACAAAAACGTATTTTTGTAATCTCTTGAAATTCATGCGTTTTATTCAAGTATCAAACATTTCAGTGCCTAACAGGGATCCCTTGGGATTCTGGCTTTCGTTCCCTTTCTTCCTTTTCATTTTCTCAGGAGGTGGCCGCTAATCGAAAGTGTTTCGACTTGGTAATTAATAGTTCTCCAACATCAGGAACTTTCAAACACTTTGAACTGTTTCAAACTATATGCAAATGGGCCATCAAGTTCAGTTCCTTTTCTTGGCCAATTTTCTTAGGCGGGTAAATTGAATTTACCTGGGGTCCGTTGAAAGGTTTTCCATTTCCATAGTTTCTCTTAACCCCTGCAAGTCCCGTGTGGCCTTTGACGCCTCGTGTGTGAAGCATAATTACAGGGAACTAGCCAAGTTCTTCAATTAAAATTTATTAGGTATTCGTGAGGGGATGGCTTTTGTGGGAAGTGTGTGGGTTTCTTTTAGTTTTCATGTCAAAGTAGAGAAGTTTTGGACGCGGTTCGATGCGGTTTTGTACTATTTTTAAGCCTTTGTGTCACTGACAAGCCAATTAATGATGATTTGTGGTCGCTTTGTGTAAATACGTTGTACTATTCTGAAATAATCGGTTTAATAATAACTTTCGAGTTGTAAAAGTCATTTTATTAACAAAAATGGCATCTCATTGATGATCTTATCGATTATCTCCCTGTCCTCAAGCGTCAATCGAGAATACAGTCTTTTATAAATATCGAGTAACTCCTGGGTGTTTTGTATTTTGGAATTGTCTTCTTATAAGTTCGTTTACTCTAAGCTTATCATCCTCAAATTCCTCATTAGAGTACCCCAAAGAACTTGCGAAAAGCAGCACAAAGCACCTGAAGAAAATTTTCATATAACAATTTCTATTAACAGTTAACAAAAATGTAGCGCTACTTACGCAAGAGTAATTAAAAAATTCATTTTGTTTTGACTGGAAGGAACGTTGCTTTAAGTCGAACTGATCATTCTACTCCTTAACATCTGAATTTATAGCACAGCGAGAGGTGAATTTGATAAAGAAATTCTAAGATTTCTAAATGATAGCTCATCAAAAATAAATAAATTGCTTTACAAGCAATAAGCACTGTTGCGTTCAGAAATTACTAGGGGGAGGAAACAAAATCTTTAATAATTTTTATTTAACAAAATTAGTAATAAACCAATCTCACTAAATATTTCGGAAAATTATGTTTGCAATCAAATACGAAAATACAGTTTAAAGCAATAATGCTTTCCAATTGACCTCGGGGTAATTCAAAATTCAAAGATAAAAAGCGAACTTGCTTATCAAATTTCGGAAAGAGAAAGTAAAAAAGTGATTATTTCATTTGTATTCACGGTTTCATAAGAAATCAGAATGTCAAAGGGGTTAAGATGTAAAATTTTTGTTTAGGCCTAGTACCTCACTTCAATCGAAAAGCCTACAAAATTAAAATCTTCATATAAAATTTTGAACACAAAATTTTCCGCCTGTCATTTTTGTATAGAAATTTTCGTTTCGTTGATTTTTTGATTACAGTGAGTACTAGGCATTAATTTGCAAAATTATTTTTTCTGGGTTTTAAAATAAAATATTGCTTTTAATATATTTACTAGGCTTTTAAAAGCAAAGCATATAATCCTTTCAAATTTATTTTATGTATTTTTTCAAACAAACTTACGTACTTTTCACACAGAAAAAAGGGAAATTCCTGTTAGCCATATCGAACACATTCGCATATTAAAGTGTCCAACAAAAAAAGGAGCAAAACCCATGGCAGTCATAATGATGACACACTTACCACATAAACCGCACGCACCACATATAACCACCACCGGATCCACTGAGAGTGGTGCGAAACGCCCACCGAGGGGTGGGGTGAAAGCGCCATAGAGCCGGGAAAAACCCAAAAAAGGGTTGGCAACTGGAAAGGCTTTCGCAGCTCCAGAATTGCCTCTAAAATGCACGCTAATGAGTTTCAATTACGACCAACTGACAAGATGGGACGCTGTGAAACAGTTTTTATTTTTATTGACATGGCATTTGTGCCCCACACTCCCATTTCCCCTGGTTGTTTTCGGTGTCGTCGCTTCTGTTGTCAATTTGCGTAAAATTTTTGTCCTTTTTTTGAGTGTTTGTTTGTCGCTACTTTGATTGAAACTAAACGACGAGCTGAGCTGCGGCTGAAGGTGTGGCGGTTGGGGGAAAGTACAGGGAGGGGTTTCGGATCGAGTGCTTGATTTTAATTAAATTCTCATTCCCACAAAAGGCGGCAAAAGCAGCTGAGGCCTTCCTCATCTAACCTCATCGTCCTTTCGTCCTGTGGCTTCTCTACTCTGCTTCTGTTCGTCACTTGTCATTCTGATTTCGGTTTGCACTACGTCGGGAAAGTATAGGGGTTATTAAATCGTGTTGATCCTGAAAAACATAGTTGAAAACTTATTTGAATTACATATCATTTCTCAGTATAAAAAGTGATATCTGCAACTATTATTTTTAATACATTTTTTACTCGTTGTTAATTTTAAAGAGTGCAGTTTTTTCCATATTTTATAAAACTGACCCCCAAATTAAAACCGTTTTTGGTACTAGTATATTTTATCACCATTTTCCACATTTTATTTATGTAAATTCACATTTAAGCTATTAAAACTATTTAAACTACTGTTATATAAAAATAATTTACTTTAAATCCCTATTTAGTTATTGATAGGTTAGTTCAATTAGAAATTTAGGGTATGAACAGAAAATTTTTCTGTCAAATACTACGATTTTAAAATTTGTATAAGTAAGGTATTATTTATTTATTTCATTATTTGAATAATCAAGAATTGTATGAATATAAAGAATTGCTTGCTTTAGTAATTATTTATTATTAATATTAATTACGTTTATTGTTTAAAAATATATTTTTAAAGTACCTATTACAAGTTTTTAACAAAACATTGGTAAATATTTAAATAGGATACAGCCTATTCGGTGCTCATCAGTATCCATTCGCTGTCCTTGCTTTTTAAAATCGTAAACTTTTATGATTACAAGAGCGCTGGTGCGTTTGTTGTTATTTGTGGCGCTGCTCCTGGTATCGTGGTGTCCTGGTGCTGTCGCTTACTTTGTGGCCAGGAGTCGGTGTTGCCATTGGCACATGTTACAACGAACGAGACCCATCTAAATGGTTATGGCGCCGTGCATTTTAAATAATTAATGGCCGAGTTGAGGACGAGTGGAGTACAAGTGCACATTGCACACAAACTCAAACTCAAACTCAGGCGGCACAGCAGGAGCAGCCATCTCGACGGGGGCGCCACAAATGTAATAAAAATGTTGGGCCAAAACTTTGACCAAGAAGCCGACGACGAGGCAGAAGTTTTCCGACTTTGGCCAAAAATCGACTCGACTGCATTTCAATTCCCAAACGATTATAAACTACCGACCGTTTGCAAATTTAATTTACAACTGCACAAAGTGAACAAACCGCAACAAGAGAGCTCGGAGCCAAGTTTTTACTTTGTTAAAGTCGGAGGGCAGACTTTTATTTGCCACCTACACAACAACTTTGGCTAGAGGGTCAGTTTGCAGCTGGAGCTCCTGGAATTAGCTGCTAACTGGAAAATATATATGTACATGTATGCACTGAAAAACAACTCAGTGGGAGGAGAAAATATTTAAAATTTTAATTATTTTTTGAGCGAAATAAGCGAGAAACACATTTTGTATTTATTTTATATCCGAAAACAGGTTTAAAAATACAGTTTATGTTTCCTTTTTTGGTGTGTTTCAAGTTCCAATTAAAAACTCTACAAAAAAATTAAAACAAGTTTGTTTTGTTTTCTTTTTAAAATTAATTTTTAATTTTAATTAATTAATTAATTAATTAAATTCTCTTATACATTGGATACCTTTTTAAATAATAAGTTGCAATATTTTTTCATGGTGTGAGATACAGATGCAAAGTTTCCTGAAACAGGAAATTATGTTTATTATTACTTTGGCACACACAATTTGGACTCCAAGTGGCCAAAAGCTTCTCCCCAAACAATATGCAAATGTTCAGCAGCCAGAGGAGCCCCAAAAGACTGTGAAAAGGAGTGGCCCACTCCCAATTTCAGCCATTGTCGAAAACTTCAAATTTAAATTAATAAGACGGGAGCCAGGATCGCCCGGCTGGATGAGCTTCGTTAGCCCCGTGGAGCATCATCATCAGCAGCGACCTCTTCCTTGGAGTGCACACTAAATTGCACTTTAATTGCACTTTAGGCGAGAGCCAGTCGATGAGAAAAACCCAAAAGTTTTCGGCCATTGTCTGAATGGGGTGCAGACGGGAAATTGGTAATCATCATAAATAAGTGATTGAAATTAATTAAATTCCGTTTTGCGACAGAAGCACTTTCCAGGAGAGCCAGATAATCAAAGTGTTTGTAAAGAGTTTAGCAGTTTGTTTGAAGGAAAAATAAGCCTAACAACAAACCATATAGAAAAATGATTTAAAAAATAATTTAATTATTTTCATTATATTTTTAGGATAATTTCAAAAATAGTTATACAAAATGTGAAGTTTGTACTTTAATAATTTCCGTGGAATATTTAAATAAAAGATCTATGGAATCAACTCAGTTTCACTTGGTCCAGTTCCAGTTTTGCCTCCATTGGCGGCACTTGTTTGCCATTATGCCTTATGCCCCTCAGCCATTTTATGTACTCCTCGGGAATTCCCGTTTCGTTGGCTCCCTTTACCAAGACCTTGAGGTATGTTTGTGAGGGCTGACGATCGTAAGGTATATTTTCCTGGACTCCACCGGCATGAAGCTCTGATTGGGGCTGGTTCGTTAGGTGATAGGCACGACAGGTGATGCTGGTATCTGTGGTCAGCGAGTGAACGGGCACGCTAATCGGAATGTATATGCCTTCGGAAACTCCTTCCTGACTGAAAAAAATATAATTATTTTAAAGTTTCCACAAAATACGATTTAAAACTTACTCATCCAAGTCCTTGAGGTTGCACATATCAATCTCCCAAATGGATCCGTAGACATGAGATCCTTGAGTGGGTACAATTGTGGCGGGAGCCCCCAACCAGTTTCTCGATCCTGTGTGAAAGTCCAGGCGGAAGTTCTGTGGATAAGTAATATAGATATTTTAAGTTATAAGTAAGATAATAATAGGGATTAAATTAGGTCGAGTTCCTTCTTTTTCTTTATTTTTTTTAATTTCTGGAATACCTCTAGTTTGCCGGCACCGATTCTTCTGGCAGTGGGGTTTTGTATGTGGATCCGACTGGCCAGCATATTACTACCGAAGCCGAAATAAAAGAATTTACTGCCCATATTTATGCGAAAGCTGAATCTGAAAGTAGAAAATGTTATACATTTTTAAAATAAAAACGTGAATGATCGGTGAAAGTAGAATGATCTTGAATCCTGAAAATATTATGAATCAAATAAAAACACCTCTTAACGAGGTAAAAAACTAGTGACGATCGCACCTTCAACATACAAAAGTTCTGATATCAACATTTGTGACGAAAAATTATTACACTCGTCATTAAATACACTTTCTAATATTTTCTCATTCGGCCCGCCCTAGCAAACTATTCCACCCTTTTTCCCTTTACAGGCATTTTCTATTGCAGCGTGACGAATGAGAAAAGATTAGAAAGTCTATTTAATGACGAGTGTAATAATTTTTCGTCACAAATGTTGATATCAAAACTTTTGTATGTTGAAGGTGCGATCGTCACTAGTTTTTTACCTCGTTAAGTAGTGATGTAAATTTGGGCCGAAACTTCGATGTCGATGTTCATCGTTGTTTGCAAAATGAAACATCGATGTTGTGTGGAACATCGGCTCGAAACATCGATGCATCGATGTTTTCGACCCATTATCTTATTTTTCCTAATTCAATTTTACATAAAAAAATAGGAATTAAGACTACAAAAACAAATGCTTTCTTAGTTTTTAATTTTTTTATTTTGTTAACCACTTAAAACTATATCAATTCGTGAGCAAACATAAGAATATTACAGCATCCATCACAATTAAAGCAAAAAACCCCGAATTTTTTCCGTGCGGCACTGAAACCATATGTGCTTAAGCATCGACGTTAAACATCGATGCATCGATAAACATCGGCATAACATAAAACATCGAAAAACATCGGAAAACATCGGCCAAAAAACATCGATGCTCGATGCATTTATTAAACACTCAGGAAGCGTTAGTTGTTCTGAGCTGGCAAAAGCGGCTATTTTCGTTTCTGAATAACTTTTAAACGCGATTTTTTACATAAACATGATATATACCAAAATTTAAGGAATCTCAAACAGCTAAAAAAAAAGTTAAAAAAAAATGGTATTTTGTTTATATCTTTTTAACTATTACATTTTCACAAATTGCATATATAAGGCGTTATAGCATTTAAAAATACCTTTTTAAACGAGATGCAGCACAAGTAGCTTTAGTAGTATAGAAGTTACGGCTTTCCGAATTTTAGCTATTTATAGCTGTTTTCCCGCTAAACTAGCGGGTTTTTCCAAAAGTGGTAGAACAAAAGTTTTTTATATCGATGTGATGAACGTCATATCAATTTTTCAGAACTTCAAAAACATTTTTTGGACAAACTGACAAACAGAATTAAATTTTCATTTTGGGAAGAAGAAGAAAATCTTATTTTAGCTATAACTTTTGAACGGAGCGTTGTAGGGCGCTTGTCGTTAATATTTTCAATTTTTAAATTTCCCACTTCAATTTAAAATACCCGCCAGTTTTTGAAGTTGCCGCCAGGAATTAAAATGGCAGAGCCAATTTCAAAAAATTACGGTTTTTACAACACTGAAAAGACGTGTTCGATAAAGACTTTTTGAGCAACTCTGGTCCCACACTTTTTCGATAAACAGGCCTGGCTGCCTGATGCATTTCGATTATTCGGTCTTTCCGTTTTGAACCTTGGCCGTGTGAAGATCGTTCTCTCCTGAGCGTATTTTATTTAAACCCAGAGATCTACCCAAACCAAATCGTGGAAAATATTAGACATCTTCAGCCTTTTATAAGGTTTTCTTTTACCAGTGGGTTCCTGTTGATTAAAGGAAGTAAGTTTTACTATTATTTCGTGGAAAAACCCCACTTATAAAGTAATGCGTTTTATAGGAAAATTCTTGGAAGTCGAGTTTACTCCTTCACGTGGCTTACGGCCCAGGAAAATTTTCCTCCAAGATTTTCATCTGCATCGTGGAAAATTGAAGTCGAGTTTACTCCTTCTACCACCAACGCCACAGGATTGTCAAGATTTTCATCAGCTCTCCACATCCATCATAGAGCATCAAACAGAAGTCTAATCAAGAAAGTGAACAAATCCAATCAAGAAAACTGTGAAAATTTCAACCAGCGTTGCCACCTAGCGTCCACGCTGAAAATTCTTGTGAATTCTGGTCCAAACAATTCCGTACAAATTCATGCACGTCAGTGCCAACAACATAGTGCACCGTGTGTCTCACATACCTACATAGTGCAGCCCTCTGCTGAAAGTGCGCAATTTGTGATCCAGTCTAGTTTTACCAACACAATTTAAATTTAAATCAGTTAAATTCTTATCAACTAAATTCCTATTCGTAATTTAAATTACATTTCTTTATCGCTAAATTAATTAAAACATAGATATCAAATAAGCAGTTAACGTTAATTTCCTTAAATCCTAGTGTAATCAAATAATTCGATATGCAGTAAGCAAATCTCGTCATGAGAGCAAGTGTTTAAGCCCCTGGAAGTGTTTTTCCCTAATTTATCTTTACATTCAGTCAATTGAAATGCAGTTTTCAAATTTATAAACAAATGTATAGCCAATAATGCAACATATTGAAAGCGCTTTCAACGTTGGATATTTTGGGTAAGTGATCGGCTCCGGTCGTAATGCTACACATTTTGATTGACTGTCTAATATAATATTTCAATGATTTTGTTATTATAAAACAAATTCCCCCATGACTAAAATACTTGTTCAGTGCTCAGTGAATTCAATTACATTTAATATTTTTGAAATCAATTTTTAATTCAAATTAAATTTTCTTGCTTTGGTTTAAATATACTCATTTAATATGAGCTTAGCATAAACTTTATATGAACCCCAACTTTGTAACTTTAATGATCACCTTTGTTAGTATTACTTTTCATGTATTAAACCTATTATAAACATGAATTGCTAAATTTTTTTCTAATAGAAGCTTGCAGCGATGAAGATGATTAGGAGTTAGGCGTGTGTCGAAGGGATCACCAACTTGTGTCAGGTTATGCGGCTGTGGTGATCATGGTAGGGTGGGCAATGTCAGCGGCAAACAACATCTTCGCTGCTGACACCGACACACACACATCAGCTGCTGCCATTCCATCTAGGCAGCACCCTTCTTTTCAGGTATTACCTTCCTCTTTACCCCAATCTTAGTTCTGTCCTCCTACAATTAACCTCTAAGTCAGTTCGCACGCGAATTTAAATAGGATGTTTTATATACATATGCGAGCAAGTAGCACTGTGGATCAAATTGGAAACTCACTCCCTTTACCGACGAAACAAGAGCCGGAACCAGCGCGTGCCCCACTTGAAGCTACACCCACCATCTTTCGTTGCTGTTAGAATCATTCGTGATATGCTACAGCGTCGGATTTTATCATATTTTCAATAGGAACTCAACTAAAGCATTGCGAGGGGGCATTTATCCCCACCGGCCCCAACAGCTCCAAATTTCGAAATTTGCACTTTTTCACTTTCACCGCTCTCTCTCCCAATCCAATTAATTTTCTTAAAGTCTTGGTATGCAATCCTTTAAGTTTTTGCAATACCTTTCGATTGATGTATTACTCATTACGGTGATGTATTACTCATCGGACTATCACAGCAGATTTTCATTTCTTCGTGTATATAAGTAGTCGCCTTCGCACACTCTCCTGGTGCGCTTCGTCACTACATGGGCTGCCGTCCATAGTGATATATGGCAATAATCCTAAAAGATTATTGAGATTGAAGTAAGTTTTGTAAGCACTGGAAGACACTTATTGTACAATGCATTCAAAACTATGAGAGGGTTCGTGTCTTGGCTATACCGCTTCGATTCAATTAAAAAATTTAATCACAATTAAAAGAAACTTCACAATACAATTAAATAATAATTTATTTTTATAATTATTTATTTTTATAAATTATTATTATTAATTTTCTCTACGTTTTCGATTTTGAAGCACACGGTTATGCGCCCAGCTGTTAAATAAGCTTATCTTGTGGAGCTTTTGAATCGTAAATCAAATCAGCTGTTTTAAGAACATATGTTTGTAAAACATAAATATATAAGCACTGTCATTGCGATTTTTTTTTAACAAACTATTCGAATAAATTAAATCTATTTGTTACTGCTTTACTTTAAAATTTTAAAAATTTGATGACGCGTCAACTTACACTGAACACAAATTTTGTTTACACGATTCGGACGGACAGACGGATGGAAGTGAACTGATCAGAACGATACAACTTTATAATATTTGCCAGTAGCAAAGCAAATGCGATAATGCTTATCAAAAGTTTTGCTATCTCGCGTTTAAAAGGTTCGAAACTTAGCTAATTGCTGGAATAACTATAACAATACCCTTAATCAAATACTCGAACCAAAGCTGTAACTGGCATGTCGACTTTCAACCGCTAAAATAACGTAAATTACATTTTGTATTTAAAGTTTCAGGCGCCATAAAAACATGGGGGATTCTCCGAAAAACCGGAATTGTAGTGCCACATTTTTCCAAATTTTGTAAGTGCGCAAAAAAATAATAGCACTTTTTTATTCTTAACGTAGTATATTTTTAATACAATGCTTTTGTTTTTTTTTTTTGTGTGCGGTAGTGCAAGCACATAAAGTATGATTTTCCAATATTTTATATTTTTATCTTTCTTTTTGAAGTTCATATGGATGTCATACATTTATTTTCTTTGTTTTTAATTGTTAGACTTTTTGATACGAGAGTATAATTTAGAGTGCAACATTCTGCAGTTCCAGCTTCTGCTCAAGATCGCTTGCCACGTGACCATTATGCTTGATGCCCCGCAGTCGCCGAACATAATCCTCGGGCACGGAGCTCTCGATAGCGCCCTGTACGAGGCATTGTAGATATGTTTTTGAGGGCTGACGGGATGCAGGAACAGAATCCTTCGACAGTTTGTAGAGATTGGTGTCCGGCTGCTTGGTCAGTAGATAAGCACGGGCAGGAACTGGATCGGATTCGCCACGGGGTTTCACGTAAACGGTGCGAGACTCGTAGATGCCCTCATGCACGCCTTCTTGGCTAAGGAAGAGGTTATAAAAATATAAACAAAATTTACTTTCGATCTTTTTTAAATTTTTTTTTTCACCATTATTTATTTTCAAGGACTAAAAAAACTATTAAAAAAATGTTGATTTATTTGTATACAAAAACGTAATATTTAATTTAGTTTAAAAATATTTGAATCAAGGCAGAAAATATTATTCGGTGTTAGTCATACTAACTTAAAACATTTTATTTCAGCAAGAAAAAGAATTTCATACATCATAGTTGAAACATTTTAATTAACTAAAGTTGTAAAATTTATTTTTTCTATATTACAAATTAATAATAACCGCAATGGAAAAAAAACAAAGCGACAAATATTTAACTTGAGTATGAAATCTATGGACTTCCTAGGATTTTTTATTTGTGTACCAATCATTGTGACTTAAACTGAATAACTTTTATGGATCACTCAACCTCAAAATCTGGTTAATACTTACTTGTCTATATCCGGCAGATTGGTAAGGTCGATCTTCCAGAGAGTTCCCCACGCATGATCCCCCTGCGTTGGCACAATGGTGGCCACGGCTCCTCCCCAACGAGCCGATTCGAAGGCAAAGTCCAGTCGGTAATCGGGAAGCAGGCCGGGACCAACTCTGACAGCCGTTGGGTTCTGGATGTGGATCCTCTTGGCCAGCATGTTGCTCCCGAACCCAAAGTAGAGGAACCTATTGCCGCGCACCTCCGGCAGATTCAAGGTGCCATTTGTACCTCCGATGCTGTGGCCCTGAGCCTTGGGGAGAGCCACCAACAGACAGGTGACGACAGCGATAAGACAATCTCGATTCATTATGAATGTGCAAGTGTTTCTTTTGATTCGACGCTTCCGAGTGATTCGATCTGTCTGGAAGCCGAACGGCTACTGAGCGCTTAATTTATTTTCCTGCTTTGTCTGCCCCGGAGATTTCTCTTCTTTGTGTAAATCTATGTCGTATACAAGTTCTTTTAATTTATTTACACATGAGCTAAACAAATTACTTTTTGCTGTGTCTTGTATGTATATTTTATACTAATTCTCATATTTATATAGATTATAACATTTGTTTGAAAACAACCGCTCGACTGAATTTCTCATGCTTTCTTTTGTGCTCTAATCAGTTAGAGGAGGTCTTGAACAAAGTCTGCATACAATATTTGTAGCAGGGAACTTATAGTGTGTTTAGACTGGGCAAATCATCGACATGCGAAAGTAGAATGTTCTGATTTTTTTCCATAGGAACCCTGTGGATAGAAGAAGAGAAAATGTTCTCAAATGTTTGACGAAGGTTCGAAAATTTACTAGAAAATGTAAGGAATACAAAAGTAACGCCCGACTTTTATGTCCTTTTTCTTCAAATTCGTATGATTTAAGGCCGCATCTATAATGTAAACGCCTTGCATCAGTTTTGAATATTCGAAAATGATTCTAGTAGTCTAAATACACTATTAGTTGTATTTTTTCAAATATCAAAAAATCTTTATTTGGAATTTTTATTCAGTAGAGAAGATTTTGTTTTCATAATAATTAAACACAGTTTAAATTAAATGTTCAATATGGCACGACATTACAAACTTAAATTATTTTATTAATGGTATTTTGTCTGAAGATCAACGCATGAAGAAGTCTGTCGCTTAGGTACTCTACCAGTTTTTATTTTGGGAGGAAGCGCGAAAGAAAGAAGGCTCTTGGACATATTTCATATGTCCTTGCTACTTCTAACTCCAGTTATTACGTCTTCCTTAGGTTCGTCGCTTTGACTTGCAGAGATCTTCAAGGGTATATACACAGTATATCGGTTAGGTTTTATATTTGCTGCCTCGAAAAAAACTCACAAAAACATCGCCTATGATTAAATGCGAAGAATTTTAATTTGTTTTACAAAAAAATATTTACAAGATAACTATTTTATGGTAAAAATAACGCAAATTGGGTTTTGTTTAACTCGAAAACACTTCCTCTTTTTTAATCGTGTGCAAGATTGAAAGTTGCTTCTCCATTTCTTGGATATTTCATCATAAATCAAGTTTAGCTGCTCGGACGAGCCCTTCTCCGGCGCAAAAGCATTTGAATCACGAAAATAAGCAATCCAAAAACTGATTAGAGAGTAGAATGACCTGTTATCAGTAATATAGACTTACAAATTAAAGCCAGTATCGAAAATAATCCTTCAGAGTTTCGACGTTTAGAAAATACATCTCTTTTTCCTCGTCCTCGTCCACCTCCATCTCCACGACCACCACCACCTCCTCCACCACCTCCACGACCCCCACCACCACCACCTTTCCGGCCACCCTTCCCACCTTTTCGACCCTTTCCACCACCACCAGCAGCACCACCACCACCTGCAGCAAGGGCCACCATAAGGATCAGCCAGGTGTAGGACGGAAAAGAGTACCAATCGAGGACATTGACTTTTTCGCAGTTAAGCACCAGGTACAGGATAATCACGAGGTACGCGAATAACCAACTTATAGCCACAGTTGCTATCCTTCGCTGTGAATTTAAGAATTATTTTGGGCTTAGTAAAATTTATAATTTAGATCCTTACGTTCAGGAGAACCGAGGCCACCATAAGCATGTGGAAAATGGGCCACAAAAAAAGTACTCCGTAGGATATCAAATAGTAATATATTTGACCACCTCCGCCTAAAACAAAAGAGAGAATCAGTGATTAAGAAGCAACCAAGGGTTTGTGTTACTTACCTTGTGAAGAAAAAATACAGGGAAAAATCGCCCAGTTGCTAATAAACAAGGATATAATGTTTAGAGTACCGTCATATCTCTTTATCGTTTTACAAAGCCTTCTTATGCGTGGCATCTTGAATATTGAAGTTAAGCCGAGTACCGCACTTTTAAAACTTCTCTGCGATATTTATGTTTTGTTTGACAACAAAATCAAGGAGTTCATATGCACAAATGTATTTTTTGTGTATTGTTTTTAATTGATTAAATACATTTAAAACAGTTTGGATAATAATTGAAATTTAAGTGAACTGACTGCATTCAGATTTTCTCTTCATTTTTCATCGATGCTGCTTTGTTGCCCCTTTAATCTATGTTTACGCAACAATTTTATTTAAAAAGTAAATTGTCGAAATCGAAGCAAACACCATGGGGCAGCGACCGTCACCAGAAACCGAATCGTTTGGATTTCGATTTCAATATTTGGTGTCATGATGGCAACATACATATCATGGGAAAAGGAGGACAATTTGCGTCTGTTTGTTCGGGGGGCCGCAGTGACAGACATTTGGGTCGCGAATGTATGCGAATATATTTAAAATGATTTTTGCGATTTTATTGCGGAATTTGTTGCATGTTCTCGATGGATGTTGGTATGGCTTGCGGCGGAACTTTGGCCAGTTTGACATGGTTGCTGGCCAAAGCCGAAACCAAAACCAGATCAGAACAGGACAGGCGACAGGAGTTGAATGCGTTAAGAGGTCTGACATGGTCGCCATGACAGCTGCACTTTGTGGTGATTTATGTGTTTGGCTGGGAATGCCAGGTGGAAAAATGTATTTTTGATAATGACAGCTACATGTTTCAAAACCATGACTATGAATACTAAAAAGCTGGTAATTGGTAGCAATATTTGTTAAAAATCACCGTTCACATGAATAAATAAAGTAAAATATCGTAGAAAGTGTTGAAAATAATTTCCTTAAGAACTATTTGTTAAATGCCTTTTAAAATTAATATTTTTAAGTGTGTTTCAAAGGAACTTTTTCAACATAATATTTATATTATATATAATAATACATTTTTGTATATAAAATACTTGAATTTTAATTTACAAACCTGTAATTTATTTGCAAGAAAATGGTACTAAATGTCTGTTGTTGCCCCTTTGAAAAATGAAATGTTGCCCAAAATATGAGCATCGCTTATTGCAGATAAGGTCCTAGTTATCCTCTGCAGCCACTCGAGGATGTCACTTAACTTCGTTAATTTACGGTCCAACTTGCCGCAAATCATTCAATTGGCTGCCTCATCTTAGACCTGATGGCCAGAAACAAAAACAGGCGCCGGCATAAATATTCATACATGCGTGTTGTCCCCAGGGTTCCTTCCACCCGCTAAATCCTTGTCATTGTCCTCGTATCTTGGCTGATTTTCACGCACACATGAGCACGTAAAGAGCACAAATGATCCCAGCATCGTCATCATCATCGCCCTATTCTCAACTCCAGCATCATCATTATCTCCAGCCGTATTCAGGGCAAACAGAGCGAAAACATACATGTTGACTGGCAAAACATATATCTATACCTCCGGCATATTCATAGATACTCGAGTCGCGTGTAATTCGAATATTCCGCCATCCCCGGCACTCGATGCCATCGAAATGCCAACTGTGGAGTCATCATTTATTTCTTTCACCTGCCGCTAGTTTTTGTCATGTAAATATCGCACATCAAGTGTCTTTCGTTACTTTTTCAGTCGTACACACGAAAAAAAAAAGATAAACTCACATTCAGGCAGCAACCATATGATAAATGGATTTTCCGCCTCCACGAACTTTGGTTGTCGCATGCAGCACTCGGGTGCCTTTTGCTTCTACTCGTTTTCCTTCCTCATTTAAAGTTTGGCGCGCTGAAGTTTAACGCTTTTATGCACGTACACGGTGCGTATACGTATTCAAATTTCGAATATCTGTGCATAAGCATATTTTATGAGCTTCGTTCCTTTGTGTGGCGGATCGGTCATAAGTTTGATGGCATCGCCGATAGATGATAAATAGCACTCATTTTGGAAATGGGTTTTGATTCAGCAATTTTGAAAAGGATTATATATTGTTATCGAGCGGGAAATATTGCTAAAATTAACAGCAAGTTTACTGCGTATATATTTAATGAATTTCGAGTAAATATGTTCATTTCATATTGTTTTAATTTGTTTTGTGTTAAGCCTGCGATAACCTTAGTTTTATTCAATGGTAAAAATAAGTATTTTATCGTTTAACACTATAATTAAATAATAAATACTAAAATATTAAAGCAAGAATAAAGAATACATTTTATATTATATTCTGTTGGTCATAAGTTATTAGTCATTTGCCATATTTATTATTATCAAATCTATTATCAAACTTAGTAATATTCATGGTCCAATTAAAACGAAAAGATTATAACTAATATCATTTTGATTTCGTATCAAATGAAGCCGTTTGCTTTTTAATTAGAATCCATATTAAACTATGCTCTGCTCTTGGATTAATATCAATTAAATGTACTAGTAAAGTGCAGCTTAAGCAAATTAAATATTTAACAAAGCGTGAATGGATCAATTAACGGAAATGCCGCAGTGAATCAAATACCATACAAATTATTTGCATTTCATTTATTTGTTTTTTGCACACTTTTAATTAATTTTTAATGTTCAGCAAAGGCAACAACGAAACAATCAAACAGAAATGGTCGATTTATGGCAATTGTTGTACGAACCGAAATCCGCAAAGGATTCACCACGTGTCCGGGTACGAATGAGTGTTTGAGTGGGTGTATCTACGAAATGAATTTCCAACAAGGCCTAACACGAGTCTGCCATTAAAATGATTGAGCCGCAAACCAAAGAATCCACAATAAACATCCGCCCAAATTGCCAAGTAAACGGATTAAATTTCCGATTTCCGATATGCAAAGCGGAAAAGTGATTTTAGATTGTCAAAAGCTTTCAAATACTCTGATAATTCCGATTTGCTGATTGTAGAAATCGCAAAAAATCCAAAAATTTCCTGTAAACAATTTTAAATGGATTATCGATAAGCTTTTAAGAGAGTTTTAACATAATGTTATAAGGAAAATAATTTTATGTTGAAATAAGATTTACTTTGTATTTAGAATAACATTACTAGTTGGTAGAATTTGTCACGATAAAAAACAAATTTAAAGTTAAAAACCCACTTTTAATTTAACAGGAGAATGTTGGCCACCTTTTGGTAAGGGTATAATTATGAGGGGAGAGGACTGAAAGATTTCGTAATCAATTTAAGCGCTCGAAAAACCAACAAGGACTCGAGAACCGTTGGCAAGTCACGTTGTTTGATATCTGCCGTCACACGGCGAAGCTTCTTGATGTGTGCTCTTGTCACAAGGAAAACTTTTCGGCAGGTTCGCAGCCCAAATATTTGCCTGGGAAATTCGCAAGCTCTAGGGAAAGGGAAGCTAACGTGTGGTAAAAAGAACATATTTTTGTGGCTTAACTCAAAAAATATATGTATTTTTGGTTAAGAAAGTCCACAAAGGCGGCGCTGATGTAAGAGTGGATGTGTGAGGAGTAGGGACTTGACCTCAACTGAACTCACTTCTCCAATCAACGTCACTTCAGATGAAAAACGAGTGTGTTAGGTAGAGATTTCTTTGCATATTTCTTCAATAAATTTAGCATACTTAAATTGCATTTTAACAAGTGAGTAGTAGCAGGTAAATTTATGGTTAGCACATTATTAAATTTGATTAAATTCAGGAAACTTCCATTGACGGGCAGCTAACGAAGGCTGTGTTTAATTTATCAAATTTTCTGAAGTTATGTATGTACAACAAAACCACAGCTAGACCGAAACAAGTTCATTAGAGATTTCATTTCACATTTTCTACATAGATTAGAACACTCAAAAAAAATATTAATTGTAAACTCTAAATGTAAACGACAAAATAATATTTTAGCTTTAACTTCTAACTTATTTCATATCGACAAAAAGCCGATATTATTAATGTAAAGATTATGATTAATAAAAGTTATAAAAATAGTGTCAAATATGATAACAATAACTTGATTTTTAAAAAAATATTAAATTACCATGTACATATCAATCTCATCATTTTGTCAATTTTTGCTCTGTTTATGAAAAAAAAATCTGTCTGTTTTTCTTACTTTACGGGCTATCAATTCCTTCAAGTGTAGTAAAAGAAGGCGTTTATTCGAAATACTGCAAAATAAAATCCTTCTTCAATCAAGTCTAGTTAGCCTATTACGCATACGCTGTGTGTGCCAGATAAGCATCCTCTCATCTTCATAATCAGGCAACTCGTATCGAGGGCATCAGCATTATTAGCCGCCCATCGCCGTCGCCGACAACAAAGTGATAAACTGCTCGACATGCAGGCATCAGGGAGTCAATTATATAATGATGCGTCGATGTCGAGGTAAGCAGTTGCTGTTGCCTCGCCTGACAAGCTCGTTAAAATTTATGTTTTGTTTGTATTCCAGGAATGCGGGGATCCAGGATGCCCTCGTATGACGCACTCATTTGCAGCGCCGTCCGCAGGACTCGACAGGATTCGAAGGGGTTAGAACCCAACAGTGTCCTGCCCCAGTTGGTTGTGACAGGCAGCAACTGTCACAATAGCTGTCAATGCTTGGACACTTGTCGATGACCATAAAACAGAAGCTTAAATATTGGATCGCTTTTGGGAAAGGGGCCATTATAGAGCAGCACTTGAGGTCGATAAATGGGGAAGTGAAAATGTATTGACATACAAATAAACGCGATTACATTAACATTAGTTTTGAGCTCTGGTACAATATTTAAGCTGAAAGTAGATAATGATTTTATTTGAATTTGGTCAAATTAATTTTTTTTACAATTTAAAAACTTTTAGGTGGCCTCAATAAAATCAGGTTAGCCTTGCCTTTATTTTGAAATTTATTTTTTTTTAACTAAGATTAATTTAATAAATAAACTTATATACCCCAATCACAAAATAAACATTAATTAATTAGTAATAGAGAAGTTTTTAGCCAATTTATGCAATTATGTAATAATAATTTTTCAGTTGTTAAATTTTAAGCAAACCAATTTTAATATTTTTGCGCTCATAACTTATATTAACCTGTATAAAATCATTCGACAAATTACATTATTTTTGAATTACCTTTTTGTTTTAATTAAGTTCTATTAGGGAGCTCTTTTTCATGGCCAAAGCTGATTTAATTATCTCAACAATTTGGCTCATCAACTTTGGTAGTATTAATTGAACTTGGTGCAAATATATTTATGTAAGGCATGCTTACAATTGTGTCTGCCAATTAAGAACATTACTATAAAAAAAGGCCGTAACTCAAAATCAAATCGGAATTATAATTTTAATTTAAAACAAAAAATTAGAATAACAATGTCAATCCGCAAACTATAATTGAAATTAAATGGAAAGCAAATATGGGCCGTAAAAACGGATACAAAAGCGTTACAAATAATCTGGCGGAAAACTTTCATTCAGTCAGTAAATATAATTTTTATGCCAGCGGCAATCAGAAAAACGTTTTATTGGCTGTCCAAAGATTGCCCACAGATAATAGTAAATATTTGAAGTAAAATCTGTGTTTGTCAGCCAGTTAACCGATTGAGTGCAGTGCGGAGCCCGCATTGAAATGCAATAAATCTGCGTCGAGCAGGCTTTAACTTTCCTGATGAGCAGCCCCATCAGGCTGTCTTTTCCCGGCTCCGGGTATTCGGTTTCGACTACAGGACCTCCAGTTCGCAGCAAGAAGCCTGTGGGATCCTGCACATGTTTACATGACGCTGGCCTGACTGCAGTCGCGGCTGCATGCAAAATTAATAAGCCATAACAAGTTGGTTTATGCCGCGGCTTCCTGGGTCGGGGAAACCGAGCTCGTTCGGGGTGAATTAATTAACGAGCAGTGGGAAGGGCAAAGTTGTGCATCCAAGGAATCTCTTGCATGTCCTTGGCAAAATATCCTCGGAGCCATAATGTGCATAAAGAAGCTGGTAAAGCTTGTTGAAGTAATGGCCCATTGAGCTTACCAATTTACTCATAATCAAGTATCTTGGCCTACCAGAAAAAAAAGCACGCAAGTGCAAATGCAGGGGATTAGGCTGTGACAGTAGTACTACCCATTTCTTAAAAGAAAAAGGGACAGTTTAAAAAATGTATACACCAAAAAAAAAATGTAAAATCAACATAGATAAATTGTATTTTTCTATTTATTATCATTTTTTAGGGTTTTTGGTTTATTTATCGGGTCATTGAATAGTTTTAAAGAATTATTCCTTGTTTCAATTAATAGTAAAATCACAATTAAAATCGTAACAAACAATATTAATTATTTAGATTTTCATTTTTAATTTACAACGTGTACCTAATCCTGAATAAGCATCCGAAAGAAATAAGCATAATTAAAATAGCATTGTTAATTTCATTAATAGTTAATAGTTAATATTTTCTAACAAATTATTTTCTAATAAATAACCTGTAGTAATGGTTGTAATCGTTGTCTGTTTGTCTTTTTTTTTAACCATTTAATGTTCAATATATTTTTTATAATTAATATTCTTATAATAATAAAGTAGGTATATTTTTTACACATATCAATACAAGTTATGAGGTTAAAATTGAATTTAGCTGCTGCCACCACCACCGCTTCCACCGCCACTGCTACCTCCACTGCTACCTCCACTGCTACTTCCACTGCTACTTCCACTGCTACTTCCACTGCTACTTCCAATGCTACTAGTTCCATTACTGCTGCCTCCAATTCTGTCACTACCCCCCAGACACATGGAGACTAAAAAGAGACTTAGGCATATAATGTCTGGAATAAGACCCATGGCCGCCATAATATACTCCTTCTTCTCGAACTGGCCATCGATCATCCGCTGAATGTTAGGGATAAGCAATGCACTACAGGGGAGAGTTTTGGTAAAAATGTTAAGAAATTTCCAACAGGATATTCTTACCAATATGGGAGGGTCAGCACTTGGGCCAGTGCGTACATAACCAATAAAAAAGTAAGGCTAGCAGACTTCCAAAAAAAAAGTACATTAATAATTGAGAAATAAATAAAGACTGCAAAAGCTAGCTTCCAATTTTTTGATAGGGTATTTGAGGTACTTTCATGAAATAGAACAACAACGGCTGCAATAGTTAATGGCACAACCATGCTTATCTGCAAAAATCGATCAAAATTTGTAGTTTTAGTAAATGCAATATGCTCTTACAGTCACCTGTGCAAGAACCTTTCGGTAATATCTTGGCCCCTTTAATGAATTATCACAAGGAATATCGCTGCCCAAAGGAGGGGGTATAATCAAGCTGGCTAAAAATGCCATTTTTAAGAAGTAAATTTGTTTTTTACTTTAATTGAAGTTTTCAGCAAACATTTTACGACTCTAAACGCTAGGTGACTATATGTGATTTGAGTATCTTTGAATAACACAGGCCGACAAAATGTGACATGGGTCGGTGTCCAGGCCTGCCACCATTTTATTTCGATAAATTAGGCTTTTCTAAGCATAAGTTGCCACTACGCCTATAGTCCATCAGCTCTGGTATTTGCGATATCTTTAATTTAAGAAAATCACAAATTTTCTTCGGCGTTTGGGATATATCTTCAAGAGTGGTCAACCAATTTTGGTCATCTTTTCGGAATTAAATAGTTACATGTCTCTTTTATACGGGCGTTTTGGAAAATTCAATCTAACTCAACCACAAGAGGAGGTGGGCGCATTCAAAATTTTAAAGTCACAGCAAAGTTTAAAAATCTTTATTTGTGAACAGCGTTTAAAAATTAAATAAAAATATTTTCATCTACAATGCATTTTTGATCCAAAGACACCTTATGTCCTTAATTTTTAGGACACTCATCAGGTTTTTGTGAATTGTTTTGGAATTTTTAAAATTGTTTTTCTTACTTTCTTCACAGTGACAATTCACAAACAGTGCCCAAACCTGTCACTATTTTACGTAACGCATAACTATTTTTGAGCACAAGTGACCCTTGCTTTAAAAATATTTATACATGGGCGTAAGTTAAAAGCTGGAGGGGGATTACACTTCAGGCATTTCAGCCCCCAAAGATTAGTAGGCTACGCTCATGTGCTTATATTCAAAGCCAAACTACTTAGATCGTTTAGAAATATGTTATTTAAAATTGTGACAGGTTTGGGCACTGTTTGTGAATTGTCACTGTGAAGGAAGTAATAGTCTAGTCACACTGTGTGGGGTAACCTATCGAGTGAGCCAATAACCCGATTACTCCAAAAAAGTGTTTCCACTTGGTTAACTCCAAATATCGAGTAATGACATCTAGTGTTTGTTGTTTGTGTTGTTCATTTGACTAGGGATGGACCTTCAACGATAGGAAATAAATACAAAATATACCGAAATATACGAAAAAATACTCCGAAATACCAAAGACCCTAAAAGTACCCCACTTTTGCCCACGTCTAGTTGCCTATACACATCCTATGTAAAAAAAAAACAGGGTTATGTCAATAACCCCATAACTCCATAACTCCACCCCAGTGTAAATAGACTATTAGAAAAACAATTTTAAAAATTCAAAAACACAATGAGTGTCCTAAAAATTGAGAACATAAGGTGTCTTTGGATCAAAAATGCATTGTAGAAGAAAATATTTTTATTTAATTTTTAAACGCTGTTCACAAATGAAGATTTTTAAACTTTGCTGTGACTTTAAAATTTTGAATGCGCCCACCTCCTCTTGTGGTTGAGTTAGATTGAATTTTCCAAAACGCCCGTATAAAAGAGACATGTAACTATTTAATTCCGAAAAGATGACCAAAATTGGTTGACCACTCTTGAAGATATATCCCAAACGCCGAAGAAAATTTGTGATTTTCTTAAATTAAAGATATCGCAAATACCAGAGCTGATGGACTATATTCGTAGTGGCAACTTATGCTTAGAAAAGCCTCATTTATCAAAATAAAATGTTGGCAGGCCTGGACACCGACCCATGTCACATTTTGTAGGCCTGTGTAATTTTTCAGGACAGTACCTAATATGGACAAAAATGTCAGTTTTCCTAATATTTTTTTTAAGTTGGCTTTAAAACTGTTTTTTTTTCTTTTCAATACAATCGAACGATTAATCAAAAAAGTCACTTGTATATTATAGGGGAGAGGTCTGTAGGTTGGTACACCTTTTGTTTTTAATCTGCCATTTCGACATTCACTTATGAAACTTTACGCATTTGGTACTGATCGAAAGGTTAGTCTATTAGCTTAATAAAATACAAAAAAAAAATTTTATTTCCTTAAGGAAAACTGAAAAATTATTTTTTTTGAAAAGTCTGAAAAAACGACATTTTGAAAAAGAGGTCTGTAAGTTGAGACACTTTTAAAAGTCAATAATACTCACACAAAAAGTACTCCAAACTATAAGGAACTATTTGTTTATGTTAATTTAATCAATTTTAGTTCGTTCTAAATTATTTCCCATCCATTTTTTAAGAACTTAGACCAAATAACAATTAAAATCAAAAGGCTCTTTGAACATTCACTTTTCCCCTAATATCAAAGAAATGTCAAAGTGTCTCTACTTACACAAAATGGGATAGTTCGGGAAAAAATTAATAACTTTTGTTCTGACTGTCACATTAATCTGATTCTTTTTTTAATTAGTTAACAGTTAATATACTAAGGCTTAGTACTCAACCCAACAAAAAGTCGTCCAAAACAAAAAACTTCATATGAAAAACAACGTCAAAAAATTTTGTTTCATATGAAGTTTTTGTTTTGGACGACTTTTTGTTGGGTTGAGTACTAGCCCTAATGTTTTAATTCTCTTACCAAGTTAATTTAAGGACGTTATTAATTTTAAATGGAATTTTGAAAAAAGTAGACAAAAACTTTTTTGGTGAAAAATGGTACACGACTCTCACAGCTTTAATCTGACGAGAGCCTGGCTTATAATGTTTTCCCCTAAAGTTTTGTCACTAAAAATGACTGCAAAAAAAAACAAAACAATTTTTTTTAGTGGATAAGTTTTATGAAAAATTGAGTGTCTCAACTTACAGACCGTCTCAACCTACAGACCTCTCCCCTATATTTTAAAAACGAATAGTGGTCCAAAGTCAACCCTAGCACATATTATAGTGCTAATAAAGAGTCTTAATTTGACCCTAATGTCAAAGGGCAAGACGTCCTGGAAGATGTTTTTTCACCTGCAAAGCATATGAATGTCGCGTGCGACAGCAGAGGGTCGAAAACGTCTCCATCATAAGACCCACTGCATGGGTATACAAATTTATAAAACATACTCAGCTTTGTTTTGTCCCTTTTAACTTTTTGGTTATAAATATTTCATATATTTATTTTTGATTTCTTTGAGTCTAGCCAACTTTCAGAAATGCCCTACCAGGGCAGGCAAGTGTGCCGAGCTTCATTGTAGTAACGACCAGGTCCACATGCCTTGTCCCTGCTAGATTCTTCACGGGTGGGAATTTGGGCATTCACGGTGCTCAGGACCAGGCTCAGGAAGAATAGAGCACAAACTTGGATTGCGTTCATCTTGTCCAAGATAGTTGAATGATCGTCTCTGGGACCCAGGCAGATATTTATACCCCGTGGGAGAGCATACGATTCGAATTATCGAAGTGATATTGCGATTTAACGGCTGTCATTTAAGGTTTGGGATGGTATTTGGCAATTCAAAACTCGAAAATTAAAAAAAATGTATTTTCAAGGGTGTGACGTGGGACAAAGCGACCCTTTTCTTTAACCTTTAATGTTCAAGCGTAACTCTAAGAATTTTATTTAATCTTCCAAACTACTATATCAAACCTGTATTTATGTTTTATTTGTCCTACTTGACTATCGCACTAATTATAAGTTATCAACTTATAGCGTTAGGAAAACATTATTAAAGAAATTGAAAATGAAATTGAATGTCAAAAATCTTCGAAGCTATAGTTTTTTTCCATTATTTTTTCGATCCTCCCTGTAGAAGGAGCTATATGATAGAGTTGTCCGATCCGGTCGGTTCCGACTTATATTCTACCTGCAATAGAAAGAAGAGTGTTAAGAAAGTTTCATAGCTTAAAAACTGAGAGACTAGTTTGCGTAGAAACGGGCAGACGGACGGACCGACGGCCACGGTCGACCGTCTAGTGATGCTGATCCAGAATATATATACTTTATGGGGTTGGAAACGTTTCCTTGACTGCGTTGCAGACTTTTGACTTGGATCATTATACCCTCTCAAGGGTATAAAAACGTCTAGTACCAAAAACTGTTGAAAATTATATCATTTATATGTACATATGTATACGTGATTTTATTTTCCTCTCATCTTCACTCGGGCACTGCTGAAACAAAAAAAAATGCTAGTTTGCTCACCACGTTTTAGCTAAAAGTACCTCAGAAACAAGTTACGGGATTTTACTGTAAATATATGGAGTTTTTGTCGTGACGTCATATGTAAGATTCGATGAGCTCGTCTCATCACCCTACTCGTCAAATTACTCTACACTTCCCTGATATTGTTTTTCCGGTGCATACAAATTTTTAAATAGTTAATGGTAAGAACATTTCTAAAATTGGATTGCTAAAAAATTAAAATCAATTGTATCAAATTACCCAACTCGCTTTGCTTTGGCCTTTTAAAGTTATTGGTTAAAAATAGTTTATATATTTATTTTTGATTTCTTTGAGTCTAGCCAACTTTCAGAAATGCCCTACCAGGGCAGGCAAGTGTGCCGAGCTTCATTGTAGTAACGACCAGGACCACATGCCTTGTCCCTGCTAGATTCTTCACGGGTGGGAACTTGGGCATTCACGGTGCCGAGGACCAGGCCCAGGAGGAATAGAGCACACACTTGGACTGCGTTCATCTTGTCAAAGATAGTTGAATGATCGTCTCTGGGACCCAGGCAGATATTTATACCCCGTGGGAAAGCATACGATTCGAATTATCCAAGTGATATTGCGATTTAACGGTTACCATTCAAGGTTTTTACGGCATTCTGAAAGCTAATCACTTACGTAAGCACTTCGCTCTCGCTCTAGTTTCACTTTTCACCGCTGACCTTCTCTGTTTGTCTGGCTCACTTGGCGTATGCTTGATGGCAAATGTGCAGAGCAAACAAGCGAAACGAGCAGTCCACAGACACACGCCCCCCTCTTTTCTACCCGATCCCCTCCAAATCTCTCCACTCTTTCTGGCCCATTTCAATTACATTTCAGTTTGAATTTGTATGCCAAGCGAATCGAGTTCTCGGCAAGGGCCACATCATCAGCTGTAATGCTCCCTGCTAACTTACTTAGTCACTTTCGTTTCCCACCCTTTGATTGACTGCACATTGAAGGGAACATGATACGCACTTTTCACCGCCTCACTTGTCTTCAAAGTTGTTCGACTCATTCAGAACGAGAAAAGTCGCGAAAATGCGTAGCTCTTAGCAAACAATTTGTTTCCAATGATATGTTTATTTTTGCATGGTTAAGGATTTGGTTGGCCTTCAAGTAAAAACACAATATTTAATTTAGACTTTATAGAATTTTAGGTAGAGATACAAAATTATTCAAAATTATTATAAATAATTTGGAACTCTCTCTAAATGTTTTAATTTAATAATATCATACATTCCCCGGATACCTTCTTCTGCGCCAAATCAAATGAAAATCTTTGAGGGATTTGTGTATAACCCTGCTCAATTAAATGACTCGAGAATATTTTTTAAATGTAAATTCGTAATATGACATGTTCAACGTTTTCTGCTTATAAATCTCCAGTTCTTCCCACATCCACTTGTACCGTTTCTCTCTTGCATTTTCCAGTGAATATTTAATATCCCTCTTTTCGGATAGAATGAGTCAGAAGAAAAATCGGAAAATCGGTGGTACTCAGCTGAGTGACTGTTGCTGCCCGGAGCTTACATGGGGACATAATTACCCGAAAAGTCGGACTGAAGTTGGGCATGTGGGGTGAACGAAAGTGGGCCATTATGTGTAAGCTGATAGCTTTATGCTCTTCTCTTGCAAGAAGAAACTCAAACTTAAAGTTTTTACTTTAAACTCGGCGGCTGAGTGAATAATATTTGCTCGCGCTTAAGTTCGCGCCGAACTTTTAGGGGCTCCTCCGCTTCGATTTCAATTAATTACGCGAAAAATGAAGAGGGAGAGAGAGAGCGAAGCCGGCGGAAGTTGCTTTATTTCGGCACGTGATAAATTAATTTAAGCCAGACTCGAAGCGTTCCGTGTAATGTTTTTGCATACCGTACACATCACAAGGCGTCGTCAGGTGGCATAAAACTGGATCATTCAGTGGGTGGTGGGTGTTAGGGGGCGGCGGGTGTGGGAGGCAGTTTAGGTTATCGAAATGGGCGTGGCAACAACTTAATTACGCTACGCACGGCAGCTAATTGAGTTCGTAGCCCAGCGAAAAATAAAACGCCATTTGTTTTGGCATTGAGACACAGTTTCGCTTTTCGGTTAGCAATTACACGCACTTTTCAGGACCTCGTCACTGTGGATTCAGTGGTGTGAAAATGGAATTAAAATAAAGGCATTTTATAAATTGAAAAAAACACTTGGATTTCCGAAAAATGTGTATATATTAAGCTAATTATAAGGACTTAATTAAAAAAAAAACAAAATAAATATTTTTAGATTTATCCTAATAGGTTTTTGCTTTTTAAAAATAAAATTAAAATATAATTTAAAAATAAAAGGGTTCATTATTTTTTGGTTTCCTGCGAAACCACTGTGTATCACATTTGAGGGCGTGCTTCGTGAGCATTCCCAAAAACAGTTCCTTAATTGCCTAAGTATTTGAATGCCAAGCAAACATTTGGCTAAATCAATTTGGCCAAGAGAAGGGATACTTTGACCTGACCCAGACCCCGACTTTGGACTTGAACCGAAGCGAACCCGGCTCACGGTCTCCCTTCACTTGCACTCTTGACAGCTCAATTTACTCGGCTCTACTCGCCGATTTTCGCTTCGGGACGCCAGTAATTATAACTTGGCTGTAATCTGCGTATTAATCTCAGTTTTCGTGGGGCCAGGACACAAGGAGGGTTTTGTCGGTTTCGGCTCAGTTTTCCATTTTTTCCCCGTTTTAACATGGAACAAATGCCTGCGAATTTATTTGGTTTATTGTTGCTGATGTTTTGCAGCTTTTCGCTGGCTGCTTTTGTCTAATTTACCACTTGACACGAAATATTATTAATTGGTCTAGACGAGCGCAAGACAAAAGGCGCACAACTCCTTGTTAAGAAAGCCTAATGAGCATTAAAACTAAATACATAGTTGAGAACGGAAATGGGTTATTTAAAGTACGCTGCCTAATTAATCATTATAATGAGCCAGTATTTTATGAAAAGTTTTTATAATTTGTAAATAATTTAAAGCTTTGAAAGATAGAACATATAAAAATAGTAAACATTTTTAATAACTACACTCATAAAAAAAAATCGAAGAATTTCCTTAAAATCTAGAAAATTCTTTCTTGAATTTTTGCCAAAGGCGACCTCACCTTTGTTTCAAGAAATGGTTTTTTTGAAAGGCACCATTAAAACAAGAAAAAATATTTCTTGTTTTAAGAAATTAAATTTCTTAAAACAAGAAAGGGTTTTTTAGAAAGCCACCATAAAAACAAGAAAAAATATTTCTTAAAACAAGAAAGGCGATTCTTGTTTCAAAGGTGGTTTGTTTCTTGTTTCAAGAAATTAAATTTCTTAAAACAAGAAAGGGTTTTTTAGAAAGGCACCTTTTAAACAAGAAAAACTCTTTCTTGTTTAAATTTCCTTTCAAGAAATTTTATTTCTTGATTTAAGAAATAATATTTCTTGAAAGGAAGTTTTATATTAACACTGAAACCCTAAAAATAAAATGTAACTTGGTTTTTTCTTTTGCATATTATATTTATTTACATTTAAAACATTTAACACTTAACATTTAAACATTTTTAAATAACACATTTTTGACTCAAGAAAACATTATTATTACCCAAGGTCTGTTGAACTTCATATGACCTAAGGTGATCCATTTTCTTCGCCTTTCCTCATCTATAAAAAAAGAGTTATTGGGATATCAATGAATTGTTTTTAGATAAACAACTTTTTTGAAATAATGTAATGTTAATAATAGCCAAAATACAAACACGTTGGACAGACGACCGAGAGAGAGGAGCAAGACAGGTAGAAAATGAAGGGTTGAAAATCGAATTTCAGAGAGAGAGAGGCACGGGAGAGACACGTACATACATACCTACATATATATTTACATACAGTCCTTTGCGCGAAGGGAGACCGAATGTAAGCAGGGCAGATCGTGTCAGTTTTAAGAAGGTGAAGAGAGAAACGTCGCGACGCGTAGGTCAAGCGAGCGAGAGAGAGGAGCAGAATATGAAAGGGTTGAAAATCGGGTTTCAGATCGGGTGAGCCGCGTACATGCATAGATATTTACATGCATACATAAGTATGTCAAACAAATACAACATATTTTTCTTACCTTAGAAGGTTTTAAAACAAAATTACAGCTTCGACAAACAAATTATTTGGCTGTTGCAACTGCAGGTATT